GGCCCAGGTGCTGGAGGAGCGGCAGAAGGCGTGGGAGCGCGAGCTGGCCGAGCTGCGGCAGGGCTGCAGCGGGAAGCTGCAGCAGGTGGCCCGCCGCGCGCAGCGCGCCCAGCAGGGCCTACAGCTGCAGGTGCTGCGGCTGCAGCAGGACAAGAAGCAGCTGCAGGAGGAGGCCGCCCGGCTGATGCGGCAGCGGGAAGAGCTGGAGGACAAGGTGGCCGCCTGCCAGAAGGAGCAGGCTGACTTCCTGCCCCGGATGGAGGAAACTAAGTGGGAGGTGCGGGCAGGGGGCTTGGGCTCTCCCTCTCTGAGTCTCCTTCCTTCTGTCGCTCTGGAGAAACCCAGAGCTGCGGCCCACTGTCACAAGGGGGAGTGAAGGGGGAGGGGGACAGAACCCATGAGGAGCGTCTGTGAGGACCAGAGTGGCCCCGGGGAGGGAGGGGGGTGCTGCGTGAGACTAGCCACGTGTGTCCTGGGTAGTCCAAGGGGGGCCCGTTGGGGCATTCCTGCGTGTCCCAGGAGTTAAGCCTGCATCTGCAGATGCTCCGCGCTGCGGGCTGGAGGCAGGGGCCCGGGTGCCGGCCGCAGGGCTCTGCCTTGACCCTGGTCCTCTTCGCCCCTGCCCCTGCCCAGGTGTGCCAGAAGGCGGGGGAGATCTCCCTCCTGAAGCAGCAGCTGAAGGACTCGCAGGCCGACGTGTCCCAGAAGCTGAGTGAGATCGTGGGGCTGCGCTCGCAGCTGCGGGAGGGCCGGGCCTCGCTGCGGGAGAAGGAGGAGCAGCTGCTCAGCCTGAGGGACTCCTTCGGCAGCAAACAGGCCAGCCTGGAGCTGGGCGAGGCGGAGCTGCCCGCGGCGTGCCTCAAGCCCGCCCTGACCCCGGTGGACCCGGCCGAGCCCCAGGAGGCCCTGGCCACGTGCGAGAGCGACGAGGCCAAGATGCGCCGGCAGGCCGGGGTGGCCGCCGCCGCCTCGTTGGTTTCCTTGGACGGGGAGGCGGAAGCTGGCGGGGAGAGCGGGACGCGGGCCCTGCGGCGGGAGGTGGGGCGGCTGCAGGCCGAGCTGGCGGCCGAGCGGCGAGCCCGGGAGCGCCAGGGGGCCAGCTTCGCGGAGGAGCGCCGCGTGTGGCTGGAGGAGAAGGAGAAGGTCATCGAGTACCAGAAGCAGCTGCAGCTGAGTTACGTGGAGATGTACCAGCGCAACCAGCAGCTGGAGCGGCGGCTGCGGGAGCGCGGGGCAGCGGGGGGTGCCAGCACACCCACCCCCCAACACGGCGAGGAGAAGAAAGCCTGGACGCCCTCCCGCCTCGAGCGCATTGAGTCCACGGAAATCTGATCCCCTACCTGGGCATGTGGCCTTTTGACAAATGCCCTGTCAAAGGCCAGAGTCCCCAGTGTCCCCTTCCCGCCATTTCTCTTCCCCATGTCCCCCATGCCCCCAGACCAAAGAGGTTCTCAAAGCAGCTGTGACCAGGTCCCTCCCCACCCCCCCCACTGGGTGCCCTTCGGGCTCTACCACAGGCCCTCTGGGCAGCCCACTTGCACCCTCCTCCCAAGGAAGGGAGAGAGCGAGGCAGAGTGTTTGGGGGAGCCCGTGCTCCCCTTCTTGGCACTGCTTTGCGGGAGATGGGAGGCGGCAGGCCTGCAGTACCATGAGGTGCCCCAGCCCCTCGGTAGGACCGGGCTGCCTCTGTTGGCCACCCCGGTGTCCAGTGATGCTCTCTGTGGTCACCTCCAAGGCCATATAGCCTGAGGGGGCCTGCATGGGGTCTGCCAAAGCTGACAGACCTTGGGCTCCTGGCCTCTCTCTTTCCTGCCCTATTATCCCTCCCTGGGCAGATTGGCAGGACGAGTGGGAGCAGATGGCCCGTATGTGGTTGAGAGGGCTACCTGCCCAGCCCCTCCCCCCACTCCTAGCAATGTCTCTTGGGCTCAGGCCTCGGAGCCTGGCCTGGTCCTGAGTGTATGTCCATATGTGCGTATCAGGGGCCGGAGGGAAGGCTGGGGGTGGAGACTCAGTGCCCAGGGAAGATCTGCTCTCCTGTTCTTGGGAAGGGTCACCTGGAGACTGCTTAGCTCTACCCCACCCTTCTGGCCAGGATCCCACAGGGTGATAGCCCCATCTGCTTGGCTCACCCCACACCCAGGGCCGCTGTCCGCGGCTCTAACTACAGCTATTAAGTGCTACCTGCCTCTCAGGCACTCCCCTCACCCGGTTTCTGAGGTCATATGAGTGTCTGTGATGTCTTCCTGTGTCTTCTCCCACTCGATTCCCCCAGCCTCCCTCTGCTTTCACGCTCAGAACATCATTGTCCTAGGCTGCCTCTTCCCCCCAAACCTCACCTTTTCTTCCAGTAGAAAATTCTGCTTGATCTTTGGTGCACTGCCCACTTCCAAGCTCCAGTGGGCCCAAGCCTGAGCCAGAGGCCTTTGTTTTGGGGGGCGAGGGGGGATGGTTGTGATTGCCCTTGAAGGACAAGGCTGACCTGAGAGGAACACTGACCCCTGAGTTCCCAGGACCTCGAGGTAGCCCAGTGTTTGCCCAGGGTAGGCCTGGCATGGCCATCAGTGGGGGTTGGGACAGCACTATCACTTCCCTTCTCCTCTCGGCATCCTCTGAGTCTATCTCCTTAAGATAGGAAGGGAAAGGCAAATTTCTAATTCACCAGCAATAAAAATTAGAGGAGGCTTGGCCCTCAGCCCTTGTATTTCTCTCTTTTCACTCTCTTCCTCCCACCCCCAAGATGGGGTTTGGAGGACAGGGTGGAGAGAGCTGGCAACTACTGTGAGCAAGTTCCCCAGCCCCTGACCAGCCTCCTCCCATGACTGGTGACTGTTTAATGAGCTGTGCATCCCCCACAAAAACAAGAGTGCCCCCCTGTGTGGCCTCTATCCCTCTGCACAGCCCCTTCCAGGTGATCCTCACCAGATCTCTGAGCCGGGTGAGGGGGGCCATCTGGCAATCACTGCCCATTCCACTCACCCCTCACTGTACCTGCCCCAGAACCTGGGCCTGGACCAGAGGGGCAGGGGGAAGAGAAGGCATTAGTAGGAAAAAAAAAAATAGAAAAAAATATGAACAGACTCAGCTTTGGGACTTCCAACCACAAAAGAAATTATATATAAATATATATAAATATATATCTCTACCATAGGTGATGGAAAGACTTCGTTTTCTTTTCCCAAAGAAATAAAATGGAGAAAGCCTCTTGAGTGGCATTCTTTGGCCTGCTTGTGTCTTTGCAGGTTTGGGAGGTGAAGCCTGGGTGAGGGGGGTGTGGAGGGCAAAGCTGGAGTAAACAGATTTCCCAGAGGATGCACGAGACCGGAGGTGCTCACTGGGCCGTGCGAGAAGGCTGGCCCAAAGCCCAGAAGGAGTCGTGGTTCCAAGTTTCTGCCCGATGGGGCTTTCTCTGAGCTCGGATTGTCACCCTGAAGGGTTTCAAGGTGGTTCTAACTCAGCATCTGGACACCAGGCTGCTGGCTGGAAGGCAGGTAGGTGGTGCAGGACAGCTAGATGCGGTGTCCTGAGCCACCTTACAGTGAATGGCCAATGTTTGAGGACAGAAGACAAAAACATGATGCTTGAGAACAAGGTTGTAATTAGTGGTGAAGCCCCAAAGGCAGAATGGACGCAAGAGTGCTGTGAGCAGGGAGCTGTCCTTTGGGGATAAGTGCTGTCCTTTATGATAACTGCCTCTCATCTTTACAAAGCACCGCCCCCTGCCCCAGTCAAGAATGCACCCCACTACAAGCAACAACCTGATTTACAAGACCTTAAAAAAGTGGTTTATTTTTCCTCACCTGACAATTCTGGTCACAAGCATTCTGTCATAGGTAGTGGTTCATCAAGGACATAAGACTTCATTCTCCTACTCTCCCATCCTTAGCATGTAGTTTCCTCCATGCCACAAGGTGGCTGCCACAGCTCCATGAAGCGAATGAGGCCACACTACTTTAGCATGAAGGTAAAAGCTTTCCCAGAATCCTGCCAGGACGTTTCCCTTTAAATGTTGTTGGCCAGAACTGAGTTGCATCCTCTTCTCACTTCAAGGGAGGCTGGGAAATTGAGTATTTGGCAAAGAACAGGAATGTCATGGCTGCCTAGGAGCAATATGGTTCATCCCCTGGGGATGGGTCCTCTGCTCCCTCCGGGTTCTTCTGGCAAAGAGAGTCATAATTAGCAACTAGGAATGTTTGCTCTTGTCTGGTCCAAGTGAGAGAATCAGGCAAACTGCCCTCCTCAGAGCTCAGGAATTGGGATGCCAGGCTTGCACCTCATTTGCAGTAAAGTGTCCTCCCTGCATTGGTTTTTGTCTCCCTGACAAGATGGTGCCCTGGAAGGAGCGTCAGTTCTCAAGTGTCCTTCGCAGCACTTAGGATAGGTGGACCAGCAACCAAGGCACTGACAAGGTATGACAAACCCAACTGGCAGTGCTCAAGTTTCCCCCAGAACAGCAGTCCGGGACCAGGCCCTCCTGGAGGGTCTCTTCCTTGCCTAGTTGCTGATAGAGGCTCAGGTGTGAGCCCCTCTACCCAGGGAGGTAAATGATGACCCTGCTCATCAGTATATGCACAGGCCTCCTCCAGCTCCAACTCCTCACATCCATTTCTCCTAACTGGCTCGGCTATCCATCACTAACTCTTCTCCTGAGAGCACTTCACAGATGCTTCTCTATTACGGATGCGTGATTATCCTCACCATACAGTTGAGAAACTAGGCTTAGAGAGTTGATGTGACTTCTCCAAGGCTATAAAACCCTGAGTGGTGGTCTGGGATTCGAACCAGTGTCTGGGCTATTCAGCGACTTCCAGCGCGGTCCATCCACGGCGCTGTTTCCCCTCCGCAGGTCCTAGACTCCCGCGTCGTCTTAGCAACGTCCTCCACTGGAAAACGTCCTTGGAAAACGCTGACAGAGTCTTTTGGGCCTCGGCCGCACCCGTCACCAGCGCAGCAGGCGGAAGTAGCGGGCAGTTGGCCGGAAGTGGGGCTGTGAGGTCCGGGTGTTGCTGGAGGAGTCGTGGTGGCGCGGCGTTCCCGCGGGATCCGGGGTCTGGTGTTGCGGCGCCCGCGTTCGCCAGGCTCAGGTGAGTGGCGGCGCCGGGGGAGGAGGTCGCGGCGGCCGCTCCCGCTCCCTGCCCGCCTGGCGCTTGGCCCGCCTCTCCCGTCCTGGGCGGCGCAGGGTCGGGCACGCGCCAAGGCCGGGCTCCGCGCTTCCGGGCCCGGCTGCGGACTCCTCTCGCAGGCCCGCTTTAGGCAGCATCTCGGCGACCCCGCCACTCCAGAGTTCTGTGACCTTGGGCAAACGGTTCGTCTGAACCTTGACGTTTCCTCTGGGAGCCGGAGATCATAACTGCCTGCCTCGCAGGACTGTTGGGGGAATGCAGTGAGGTGTTTTGCCGCACTTCTTATCACACTTTCACGTGCGTGCTGATCACTGGGGGATCTGGAGATTGTGGCCGTAGGTCTGCGGTAGGGTCCGAGGTTATGCACTCCTGACCAGCTTCCAGGTGAGGGTGAGCCTGATGCCGCTGGTCCGCAGGCCACAATTTGAGCCGCAAAATGCTACATACAGTATTTTGCTTAGTACTGGGTCAGCCTGAGTCTTCAGTAAATATCAGTACGATGTATACCTAGTCCCCATTTTTAACAGAACGGTTTCTAGTTGTACAGCCCTAAGGGTATTATCGATGTCTTCCTCCCTTTCCTCTCCAGAGATAAGAAAAATAATTGCCCTTTCTCTTTCCGTACAAATCATGACACAGCTCTTCTGTCCTGACCCAGGGAGCTTTGGGCCCTCTTTGTACCAGTTACTCATCACTTCCTCAGACCATGCTTCATTGCTCACTCACTGTAAACCCTCGAATAGCGCTTCATGCTGTGGAGCTGGTGGCCAAGGGCTTTAGCACCAGTGTGTCTGGTGTTCCCTGCTCTAGTCATTTGTTGCAGCTGGCATGTTAATTCCTGTTTTCTGCACCTTGCTCACACTTTGTGAGGAGTAAGAACAGCTGCTTTAACCACAACCAGATTCTCCAACTCACTGCTCTGAATGGCCTCAGGCAAGCTCTGGGATGAGTTCGCTGCTGCCTAGTAGACCAAAATAAAATCTGAAGACTCAGTGTTGCATAATACAGCAGAGACAGTGAGGCCTTTGGCAGTTGTGCAGGCCTAGTTGATTTGACAGTTTGATTTTCTTCCCCATTCATTCCCCATTACTTCTCTGATTCCCAACAGGGTCTTGTCATTCGTCGTGCAGATACGTCAACTTTGATATCAGAGAATTCTGAAGTTTCCCCTTCAACTGCCTGAAAAACTGTACTGCTCAGCCTTGCAAAGCTAGAATAGATAAAACCAAGTATTTAGTTGATTTGACCAGTTGACGTGACTTTGGATGCAGCTATTTCTCTCTTCTTGCAAGGCTTTGGTCATTCCTTTAGTAGCTCCACTCTCAACGGGCTGAGAGGGCATGGGTGCCTGCTCTCTGTTGTTAAACCCAGAGATTTTCTAAAGACAGAGTGTTGTGAATCCTTTAAGAGCGGTTGCTCTAACAGAATCATCTGTGGGGTCTTGTCAGACTGTATCTACCCAGGTCCTTCTTGCCATTCTGATAGAGGAATAGCAGAGGCTTAGAGAAGGGGAGGAGAGGGCTATATAAACTGGAAAAAAAAAAAAAAGTTTCACAGATAATTGTGATGTGCTGTTTTCTCCAATAAGAACGGAAACTAGAGGGCGCCTGGGTGGCTGGGTGGCTCAGTCGGTTAAGTGTCTGACTCTTGCTTTCGGCTCAGGTCCTGATCTCAGGGTTGTGAGATCGAGCCTGGGTGGGGCTCTGTGCTGGGTGTGGAGCCTGCCTAAGATTCTCTCCCTCCCTTAAAAAAAAAAAAGTGCAAACTGGAACAAAGTGGAGGGGATGGTCTGTTAGACTTGGTTTTGGTTTGGCTTAACTCGGGGTGATACTTACCTTGACCTAAACACCTTAGCACTAGTGTTTGACCTTCATGGTAGTAGTAGATCCCTCTCTGCTCCTGTGTGGAAACCAAAGCACGGAAGAGTCTAGCCCAGTTAGCATTTGCATTAACAGCTAAGGGTCCTTAGGTCAGTCTCTAAGCCCTCACCAGGGGCATTAAAGTTTTGTAGACTCTCAACACCTAGAGAAATTTAGTTTTTTGTTTTAATTCTCAGGGTTACTCAACAAATTATTTGCTCAGACAAGATTAGAATTTGAAGTATCCATTTATTTGTGGCAATTTTATCAGGACATAAGGGGGTTAAACCTTTGTAGCAAAAGGACAGTAATCAGAATTAAGAGAGGAGATCCAGTAACTGGTGAATTGGATATGCTGAGAGTGTCATATACTTAATCTACAGTTAGCATGGCTGTCTTCCTCCGTCTGGCTCCCTTCCTCTAACTTCTGGACTGTAGTTTAAACGAAGCTATTCGACTTTGCTCAGACCTGTACCTGGAAGGTGGAAAGGTAAGAGGCCTCACTCCTGTGAAATCACATCATTCAGGGCGGTTGGGCAGTGCCAGGGGTCTCTGAGGCTCCATTCTGATTTGTTAGGTCCCCTAAAGAGAAGATGGGGAGGAGAATATACATATAGTTTAGTTTATACACTTAAACTAGGAAAGGAGCTTTGTGCTGTTGTCACATGTCTTTGAACCTCTAGAGAAGGTGTCAGGAGTTACTGATTGGGCATCTCATAGTATTCCCTTTCCATCTTTCTTATGGATTCCCTGGGAGTCCTTAAGTAAGGAGGAACTAACAAACTCAGCTGTGTTTTCTCTGTCTGGGCAAACACATCTGACAACCTCTCCTTTGCAGTGCCTCTTCTCCTCGCTGTTCTGCTTTATGGGTTCTGTATCTTCCCTTTGTTTCTTTCCTTTCCTTCTCCACAGTACTCAAGACCAGACTTCTGAAGTGATTTTATTTCAGACCTATATATGTAGATATGGTGTCTCAACAGTTATGCTAAAAGTTGCATGGTGGAAAAGTAAGTAGCTCCTATTTGCCGTTTGCAGTTGGCTTTGCATGCTTCTACGATTCTTTATTTTGTCATCATTTCTGTTACTGGGCATCCATAAGGAAGTTCTATAGACAGTAGGAATTGCTTGGACTAGAAAAACTTTTCAACATTTTCCTTGAAACTTAAGGTTACTTTCTTTGAACATTGTCTTCTTGAAGAATACCTTAATTTCCTGTTAGTACATGCATTTGGCAAATTTAATTTTTGTCAAAGTTGGACATGGTTTTCACAGTCCAATAGTTTGATGAAACTTATAACACTAAATATTAATTTCCTTTCTTTTTCCCTCCTTTTTTGTTCTGTGGAGGCACTTTCCACTCTTGTTTCTTTTGGCATTTATCAGTATATTTCTTTTTCTTTTCTTTTTTTAAATTTTTTTTTTTAAGATTTTATTTATTTATTTGACAGAGAGACAGCGAGAGAGGGAACACAAGCAGGGGGAGTGGGAGAGGGAGAAGCAGGCTTCCTGCTGAGCAGGGAGCCCGATGTGGGGCTCGATCCCAGGACCCAGGGATCATGACCTGAGCCAAAGGCAGACGCTTAATGACTGAGCCACCCAGGCACCCCTAGTATACGCTTTTTAAATCTGCATTATTTCTAAATAATGTATTTGTGTTGCTGTTTCTTGATTTCTAGGAAGTATCTATATCTATAAAATCTTTGACTTCTTTATTATGGGCTTTGAGGCTCTGGGCCTCACTACCCAGCCTCCCCTATTCCTCTTCCCCTCCCTGCATCCTCCATATATAGTTTGCTCATAATTTTTGGTTAAGCTGATATTCAAGGTTTATATCAGTAAGATTATGTAAATATTCATAGCTGAGCGGGGAACCATTTTCTGTCTTACACAACTTTTTTGTTTTCCTGGAGTTAATAATTTTTGTCACTGTTGTTACTGGCTTGGTTTTCTGTCTACAATTGCTTGTCCATCCCCAGATTAATCCTTAGAAGTATAAACCTCTCTCGTTGGTAATATTTACCTCCTCTGGCATGAACTAGTTGCTCTTTATGTCTGCTCACAGTTCCAGTATTGGGATCTTCATCATTTTCCTGGGGTTTCCTTTTGCTTCTCTCCTGAGTTGAGCCCTAAATTCGGGATCCCTTATCTCTCCTGCCAACTTCCAGGTCTTCAGTTATGGTACTTCTCCTTACCTCGATGACGGGGTATCTTGTATACCCATTCCTTCCTGTAGATTTCAGTCTTTGAGATCTTCTCTTTGTTCTTTTTGTAAGCAGTATAAACTAACCATAGTGATAGGTCGGATCCTAGACTACAGGCATAGCTCATTTTGCACTTTATTGCACTTTACAGAGAGAGTGTTTTTTACAAATTGAAGGTTTATGACAACCCTGTGTCAAACAAGTCTGTTGGTACCATTTTTCCAACAGCATTTCCTCACTTCCTGTCTCTGTGTCACATTTTGGTAATTCTTGCAATATTTCAAATGTTGTTTATTATTATTGTATTTGTTATGGTGATTTGTGATCAGTAGTTATGACTTGTTGAAAGCTCAGATGATGGTTAGCATTTTTTAGCAGTAAAGCATTTTATAATTAAGATATGTTTGTTGTTTTTTAGACATAATGCTGTTGCGCATTTGACAGACTACAGTATGGTATAAGCATAACTTCTATGTGCACTGGGAAACCAGAAAATTCCTTTGACTCACTTTATCATGGCATTCACTTTATTGCAGTGGTCTGGAACCAAGCAACGCTACATCCGAGGTTTGCCCGTATTAGAGGTGGGAGGGGCTTTTGAGTTCACCCATTCTAACCCTCCAGTTCCCTGGCGTCTGGAAACCCTGTAGATTGTTCAGGGTCCTCCCCACTTCTTTGTCTGGAATCTGACTCTTCTTGTCTAGAATACACCTGCACTGTGGATTTTGGAATCAAGACAGTCTTTGATGTCAAACCTCACTCCATCCCTTAGCTGTGTAACCTTCAGCAGGTTTCTTAACCTTGTGAAGTGTCCTTTTCCTCATCCACAATATAGAGATAGTAAGACCTACCTCACAGAGAGGTTGTAAGGATTGGAACTAATGCAGATTTAAAAAGCATA